ACTACTAGGAGTAAAGACGCTACTAGGAGCAAAGAGCATCGCTACTAAATTGAACATTTGAACCGTGCCGTGTGTGAACGTATCACACCTTGTCAGTGCCACCCACCGTTTCACGCCATAAAACTCGTGAACGGAGGAAACTCAGTGTGAAAGTTCTTGATGCCAAAGCAATTTGAGGACATTGCTAGTATGTCCTCATTTAACTTAAATCTAGTTTGATTTAATTCTAATTCAATTCAATTCAATTCTAATTTAGTTTAATTCTAATTTGTTACTACTAGTAAGGCACTTGTTACTAGTAGCTTCTTGTTACTACTAGTAAGGCACTTGTTACTAGTATGTTGGAGGCCACTTCTGAATAACTCAGAGTCTTCCTAAGTGACCTGAGGCGGTTACTTAGGAGCCGCCATGTTAGGGCCCACGACCTGATGCAAGGTTTTGGAGGAAGAACCTGATAAAAGCCACATCCCCACCGCAACCCGCACAAGTAAAACGGCCAAACCTTACACTCTTGCTTGACATTCTACTAGTAACAAGGGCATTACTACTAGTAGCTAGAAGCTACTATTGACACTCTTCAAAGACATTCTTGAAGAACAGTGACACTCTTCTTTGACACCACACTTTCTGTTCACACTCTTGCGCCACGTGCCACACGTGTAGGACACTCATGCACGACAATTTTGCACACTCTTGTAGGATACTACTAGGAGCAAAGGGCATCGCTACTAGGGGCTCCTGGCCTTACTACTAGCAACAAGAATGCTACTAGTAGCAAAAGGCATTCATGTTGTTTCACCCGACGGAGGCGCTGCTTTCGCAGCCCCAAGATACCATCGGAGATTTTGATGGGCCTGTGGCCCTTTTGGGCCAGGACTGTGTTTTGTGGGTTTCACAACGTGGGTTTACACAACCGTTTGTTGTAAAAATCATCACAACAAACGGTTCGGACTTGGATGTTTTTGCACAAGTGTTCACATGTCACGCTTGACTCGTCAGGATATAATGACTCAGATGCCTTTGCGCTACAGCGTTTCCCAGCTGCAAATTAGCATTTCCTCCTTGGTTCTAATGTGCTTTTAATGTAGATTGGAGGCCATCGCTAGTAGGTGGAGGCCATGTGCTTTGAATGTTTGGGGAATCCCTTGCTGTACTTCACCTCTCTTTAGTGAACCTGGTTGAAGCAGCAGACGTTCATTGCGCTCTGCATGTCTCGAGGCAGCCCGAGGCACTCTTTGGTTTCGTCATTAAATCCTGCCATTTTGCACCAGCTAATCACGGCTGGCGCACTAGCTTGCCAATGCCTTTTCACATCTTTTCACCATGCTTGAATTGAAAGAAAGGAAAAAGGCAAACGACTTTGTCTCTTTATTTGGTTTCAATTTGGTTGAATCGCTTGCAGACACTTCCGTTACCTTTTGGCCATCTCCGGCTCAGAACGCTGCCGAAGATGGCCGAACTAGGCGGGATTTGAGCACTTCATTGACAAAAGTGTACTGAGGCCCTTGCTCCTAGTAGCGATACACTTGTTCCTAGTAGCTTCTTGTTACTACTAGTAAGCCACTTGTTACTAGAAGCGATGCCCTTTGCTGACCATTTATCGGAGATGTTGATCATTTGGAAGTTGTTTGCACTCGTTGGACGATTGGGCAGCACTGCGCAACGTAACGGTATACCGTTATGCTCATTTACATCTTCCCCTATTTACCTTATGATAAAGAAAACCTTAAGGAAACCTACTAGCGATGGCCTCTAACCTACTAGCCATGGCCTCCAACCTAGTAGTATTTTAAACCTTGAAAACAAGCATACATTGTTTTATGATATTTAAAGAACGCAGTGGCGAGCGCCTGTTTGGGGAAAGAATATATTTAAAGAATGACCGCCCCTGGCGACTGGTCCAAACTCGACAACTCGCAGGAACTTCGAGAGCTTCGCTGCAAACTGCTTTGGCTTCCAACGCGTCCAGCAACTCGTCCAGCAACATGTCGTTTGTCGTTGATTCAAGTCGCGCAACCTCTTTATGTGTTTCCTCGTATTCTTCGGGTTTTGAGGTTCCTTTTGCATTTTGAGTTGAAGCAAAACGAAATAAATGAGTAAATGAAGAAGCGAAGGCTTCAAGCATTGAGAGAAGAGTTGTTGCAAAAAGAAAGTAACGTGGAAGTCTCCTCAAAAATGATTGCAAGAGCTTTCAGTGCCGCAAGCCGCAACGGCATCGCGCCAGTTCTCAACGGCATCCCGCCAGGAGCCGGTGCATGCACACAGCCTGCAGCTTTGGAAGATGCACTGTGCAATCGAAGACATGTCACTATCACGAGAGCGATGTGGGCCCCCCTGCTCTTTTGCCTTCCCCACCAACTTGGTATACGGAAGAAGCAAGGACTTTACTAGTGGCTCCTGACCTTACTACTAGGAGCAAAGAAGCTACTAGAAACAAGAAACTACAGTTCTTTGTTGGTTTTTAGAACTCTGTTTGGTACGTGTGACGGCGAGGTGCCACTCTCGCATCTTCCCTTGCTGGACCCACAGAAACACTATGAAACACTTGCATTTCAAATAGCTTCTAATAGCTTCTTGTTCCTAGTAGTAAGGCACTTGTTACTAGTAGCGATGCACTTGTTCCTAATAGCTGTTTGTTCCTACCAGTAAGGCACCTGTTCCTAGTAGCTTCTGTTACACGTGCATTTCTTGTTTGCTTTTGCAAACGTAGACGGAGCGTATCTCCCTTTAACTGAAAGGGAGAACGGCAGCGAATCATCGGATGATTCGTGAATGTTTTTGGTAGCGTCCGATCGCTCCTAGTAGCGATGCTCTTTGCTACTTGTACTAGAAGCGATGCACTAGAAGCGATGCACTCGTTACTAGTAGCGTCCTTGTTCCTAGTAGTAAGGCCAGGAGCCCCTAGTAGCTTCCTTTGCTCCTAGTAGCGAATTGCTATTTGTCTTACCAATTCACTCAGGCAACATTGGGCTGTGTTGCCCCTGTTTGCCCAGCAGCTGGAGAAGTGCAAAGGCTCATCTGAGCGCAATGAAGAAATGATCGGAAGTCACAAACAGAGAGAACCCAAATCAACGAGCAAAGTTCAAAACCGGATGAAGAGAGAAATGAATGAGAGAACATGATAGAACGGGACGCTATTAGGTGGAGGCTACTAGGGGATCCTGGCCTTACTACTAATAGCAATGTTCGCTACTAGTAACAAAGGGCATCGCTACTAGTAACAAGAACGCTCTTAGGTTGGAGGCTACGAACGTAGTAAGCTCAATCCAATCTTCGGACAGGATTGGCTTCATTTGATCCTGTTGGTTGCTGAGACCGAAAGAAGTGAACGTAGCGAAAAGAACAATACGTTACTACCCGTTTTGAAATGAAAACGATGCACTTGTTTCTAATAGCTTCTTGTTACTACTAGTAAGGCACTTGTTACTACTAGCGATGCACTTGTTCCTATTGCTCCTAGTCCCTAGTAGCGTCCTTGTTCCTAGTAGCGATGCCCTTTGCTCCTAGTAGCGTCGTTTTCATCATTTTCTCGAAATCTCTCAGGATTTTGGGGGTTCTCTCCACAGTTGCCTTCATCATCGTGCAGGTCTTCCACTAAGTGTCTCCATCGAGTACTCTCACATGCACAAAAACAGCTGGGCTAAGAGAAATTTCTTGTGGAAGAAAAGCCATGTGTGCCATGCACAAAAATCGATTAGTTTTGTTTTGTCAATTTTTGTCTATCCTGAAAAGATCTCAAAAGCACCGCACATGGCATTGCTTTCATGTTTGGAATGCTCCTGCCAGATCGTTGAGATTGCCACCCAGCAGCATTGCCGCACGCCCTTCTGTTTGGGGCAGTGTCTTGGCATGAAATCTGAAAGAACACGTGTTTGTGAAGATTGGAACATGTCAGATGATATGTGCGTTCTTTTTTTGTGACGGGCGAGGCTGGTTTCTGGCGTGCTGATACTTCCCAGCCTTTATGACTTCTTTAAGTTCATCGGGACGTATGACGAGTCTCTACAGGACTTTTGGTTTTCGATTCATAGTAACAAGAAGCTATTAGGTGGAGGCCATCGCTAGGTTGGCTGCTAGCTTCTAAGCTACTGATGCGTGTCTTTCTTTTTCGGGTTTTGGTTTGACCTCTTGAAGCAAGCAGAGAGCTTGGGGCGGCGAAAATCGACATTTCGTGAAGGTCGGGCTGTGGGAGGGCTCTTTGGGATTGCTTAGCCGCTTAGCCCTGCTTGGCTGGTTGCAAAAGTTTTGGACATCTTGGAAGCGCTCGCTTTGCGACGTGACTTCTGGGGGAAGTCTCAAAATCGTCCTTGCTAGTAGCGTCCGATCGCTCCTAGTAGCATGTCGTTTTGTCCCAGGTATCGACATACTAGTCATTGTGCCCAAAGCTTTCGTCACTAGGACATTCGACGATATTTGGGGGTTGTTTTGATCCTTGGGCTGCTGTTGTGAACATGCAGGTGCATGACAGCTCTCGGTGTTTCTTTGAGCGAATGAAGGGCGTTCTGTTTGGGTTGACATTCGACCAAAAAAAAGGGTTACGTGTAGCTTTTCGGAGTCGAGAACAGCCGCTTTTCGGCGCGAAACGCAACAACACACCACACGGACAGCCGTAAGTCTCGTGGCTGGTTCACGCGCCCGGACCTTGTCCAAGCATTCCGTTTAGAGGGCGCAGCAAGCGGCTCCACGGCCATAAAAGCGATCGGTGAACCTCTTGGTGCTGGTGAAGTGAACCACAGTGCTTGCAAGTGACAGGATGTTACCTACCGGCTCACATTTGCCCCTCCCCTCGCTGACAAGCGCAGTTTCCACCCTGACTCGCTAGCATGTGTGCCTTTTCGTTGAAATGTGGCAATTTTTGTCGAATTTGTCCTACCAAGCAGAATGCAAATGAAACCAGTATGCTATATAAACGGCGTGGGATCCCAACCAGGCCAGGAGCCCCGTGCGTAGCTTCTTGTTGGTGTTTTTGTCATCACTAGGAAGAAGCAAAATACGGTTTGCTCAGCGTGTGATGACGTGTGAAGCGGGTGTTTGTTCGTGTGTGTTCGTGATTGTTCTTGTTTCTATCCGACACGTTCTTCCGGTGGAAACTAGGTTGGAGGCCATCGCTACTAGGTTGGAGGCCATTGTTTCTAGGGCCGGTGGAGGCCATCGAGCCTGGGTTGAAGGCCATGGCCATGGCCAATTTTTTCAGGAGCACAAGCAGCGGGCCGAGGACGAAGTCCATGGTTTGATCGAGAGCATCAACCAACAGGTGGCTGAGATGCAGGACAGAATGAAAGGGTTGCAACGGTTGCAACCTTGGTTTCGCGGTGTTGCTTCAGCTAAGCTTCCTTTTTTTTGATGGAGCTTCTCTAGAATGTGTTGTTTATTTGTTTGTTCTTTTTCCAGACCTTTAAAGGATCATTTTTCCTGTTCTCTCTAGAGTGTTTGATTTCTTCTCGTCCGCATTCCTGATTCCTCAATTGACACGCGCTGACACTTTTGAAAGGTCCGTCCAGTCCTGTCCAAACTCCACACCAGAGAAGCTGGTTGGAGGCCATCGCTACTAGGGTGGAGGCGTTTAGGGTTTAGTTCAACACAAACTCCACCACACCAGACTAGTAGAAGCAAAGTGATTGTTTTCCCTTTTCTAATAGCTTCTTGTTACTAGTAAGGCACTTGTTACTACTAGCGATGCACCTGTTACTAGTAGCGAACATGGTTTAGTTCAACACAAAGTCCACTGCACCACACCAGACTCACGGTCTTTGACAAACCGAGAACGAATCAGTCGTGGAACATCACTACGCTCCGCTGTGCTTGCTACTATGGGCTCCGCATTTGTTTGTTTGTTTTTGGACCTGACGACCTTTTTCGTGTCTTCCTCTTTTCAGCCTGCTCCTACTTAATTGAGTAGGCACCTACTGAATGAAGTAATGGAGACTAGTTGGCTACTAGGCTTAAGCAAAAGGCAAAAAAGAGAAAACTGTGCTTCTTCACTCATCTTCTTTCTTCGCTCTTCTTGTAGAAGCCATGCATTCTGACAGCGCAGTTTTTGTTGCCAAGTTACTAAGTTTGGCATCGTGGCCCAACTGTGTTTGGCTCCCACATGATGCTGTTTTTTGGTTATTCGTGCAGGATGTTGCAGCCAAGCTCACTGCCTGTGCACCCAGATCATGGGACCCAAAGAGATCGAAAACGCTCAAAAAAACGCTGATAAACTTACGTTTGTGCTGTGTTTCTTTTCCGCTTTGACAGGAAAGTGCCACTGACTTTGCTTTTCGCTCTTTCGATACTTCTCGGGAAGGCCGGATTTGTGAGCTGGACAGAATCTGAGAAGAAAGGAAAAGAAAGGGAAATAAGTCAACTGAACGCATTAAAAATGTCAAGTGCAAATATAATATAGGGTTAAAGAACTAGGTAAATAAAGAAATTGAAACAACATGCATCCTTGTGTTTTCTTGTAAAACAACGACCGGCGAAAGGCTTCGAGAAGTTCATCCTGGCCGCGGTCTCGGTAGTGAGCAGTCCCTTTCGTATCGTAAACCGGGGAGAGAGAGAGGCTTTAATTCTAATTCTAATTTACCTAGTAGCTTCTTGTTACTACTAGTAGTAACAATTGCATCGCTAGTAGTAACAAGTGCCTTACTAGTAGTAACAAAAAGCTATTAATTTATTTTAAAATTAATTCTAATAGCGAACCTTGTTACTAGTAGTAAGGCACTTGTTACTACTAGCGTGGCACTTGTTACTACTAGAGAGAGCCTCGTTCGCTTCTTCTTTTTCCCCGGGCGGGGTAGGCCACTGGTGAGAAGAGGTAGGTTAGCTAGGTAGCTAGTAGTAGCTAGGAAGCTAGTAGCTAGCTAGGTAGCGGCGGGCGCAGGATAGCTTCATCGTTTTACAAGCGATTTGCTCAGGATTTGAAGCTGTACTACAGCGAGCTTTACGTGGAAGAAGAGATGCTCGAGGAGTGAAAGAGATGGTAGAGCAGTGCACGAAAAGCGTCGAGATGTTAAGAAAATGGAGAAAAAAGCGAACAAAAGCAAATGCAAAAATGCAAAGGCAAAGCACATGCAAAGCAAAACGCAAAGCACATGCATTTGCATGTGACTTGGTGGGATTGAAAGAGTCGTGCTCGCGATGGAGGAGTTGCGGTCCTTCATGCTGAAGTGGCTGGTGGTCTTCTCGCAATCCCTCCTGGACCCCGACACGAATCCTTTGCTCAAGGCCCACTTCGATGCGGTCTAGGAAGAAAAACGGCAAAAATGGTCTCAAGAACTAACATGAAGAGAAGAACGAAAACAAACGACGGAGAGAAAGGTCCAATAGATAATGAGACAAACGAAGGGATCATGTGTTTTTTAGACATGTTTTTTGTTTTACATGGACCTTGTTAGTACGTCTTTTGCTACTAGGAGCAAAGGGCATCGCTACTAGGAGCAATGTTTGCTACTAGGGGCTCCTGGCATCGCTACTAGGAACAAGAACGCTACATGGACCTGAAACAGTGTTTCTTTTGCTACTAGGAACAAGTGCATCGCTACTAGTAACAAGTGCCTTACTACTAGTAACAATAAGCTACTAGTAACAGGTGCATCGCTACTAGTAACAAGTGCCTTACTACTAGTAACAAGAAGCTACTAGTAACAGGGGCGTCGCTACTGGTAACAAGTGCCTTACTACCAGTAACAAGAAGCTACTAGGAACAGGTGCACCGCTACTAGTAACAAGTGCCTTACTACTAGTAACAAGAAGCTACTAGGAACAGGTGCATCGCTACTGGTAACAAGTGCCTTACTATTTTAATCTAACTCTAAATTCATTTTTTTCGAATGTGATTTAACTAATTATCTCAAATTTAATTTAGTTCTAACTTAATTTGATTCTATTTTGATATGATTTTATTATTTTAATTGAATTCTCATTTAATGTTAAATCGATTTTTATGTTAAATCTAAGTCTGTTAGTACCTAGTAGCTTCTTGTTACTACTAGTAAGGCACTTGTTACTACTAGGAAAACGTGTTTCTGTTTTTTGGGGTTCCGGTTTTCTGAGCTCCGGTCGCTTCGGTGCGACGCTTCGGTGCACCTTTGTTCGCCAGGGGATCGAAGAAGAGTTCCGGAGGTGCACGTCGCAACGAGCTGAGAGAAGCTTAAGTGAAAGAGAGGAAAGATGCTTAACGCATTGGCAGGCAAGATAAAGAAGATAAGGCGAAAGATCCAAAAATTCTGGCTTTCAGCCGAAACAGTGAAAGAGACGGCGGACGCCAGAACCCTTCTTTGTCTTTGTGTTTTAGCCCGTGGCCCTGCCTCCTTGTTTGATGAAATTAAAAAAAGGCGTCCACTTAATTAAGGAACAAGAACGAACGCTACTAGGAACAAACTAGGGCCTCCTGGCATCGCTACTAGAAGCAAGTAGCTACTAGGAACAAGGACGCTACTAGGGGTTCCTGCCTCCTTACTCAATGTAAGGGAGAAGTGCGCTCCCGGCTACTTCAGTTACCTGGACACAGGATAGCTCACGGAAACTAGGCGATGGCCTGATGGCCTCGAAGCGAAGCGAGTTGGGCATCGTTTTGTTGCAAAGAGCTGTCCGACACAGACGCGTGCACCAAGGTTGGATGAGCTTTGCGACAAGGTGGAGCGGTCGGTGCAGAATATAGCGACAGAAATTAGAAATGGAAAGAATGAATTTGCAATGAAAATAGCGACATGAAAAGTAAATATGAAATGAAAACAAATAGGTGTTTTCTTTTTCTTGCCAGGTCACTGGACGTCTGAGTCGTCTCAAAGATGCTCGGCCAGAAATGACGGACTGACTGAGCCTTCTTCTCGAAATGGATTTTTTGAAGAAGATCTAACTAAGTGCTTTTTGGTTGTCAAGTGATCGCCTCCAACCTAATAGCGATGGCCTCCAACCTTGACTAAGTGTTTTTTGGTTTTGTTTTGTTTGCAAAAGTACGTTGCCGACCGCACATTTGTGTTTTGAAAAGGCGTTTTCTTTGGAAAGGGTCCAAAAGACTGCTTTCATTCATAGGGTTTCACAATGTTCACAATATGCTCGTCACTGTCCAGTGAGACCTCAATACCTGGTCAGGCAAGTTTGTCAAATGTTTGATCAACATATATTTGTTACTACTAGTAAGGCACTTGTTTCTAGTAGTTTCTCGCGTAACTTGTGTGTTCGAATTTGTCAAATATGCTGTCTCGTGTATGTTGTGAAGGTGAAGAGAATAGTCTCTGAGCAAACGGGATGTGGTGTCCTGTTCTTTGAGCGATGAGCCGCTTGTTGCGTTACATTGTTTGTAATAGTATCTCCGGTTTGGGGTCTCCTTTTGGAAACGCTTTTTGTTCACTCTTTCTTATTATGTTCTTTTTGTTTCGCAAAAAAAAAACTTTGCTCTCTCTCTCTCTCTCTCCGAGGTGTCCACTCGCTTAGCCTTGATGGCCCCGGCGGATTCCTATGCTGCGAACCAAGAGAAGCCGAGCTTGGCGAGCTGAGCGTAAGCATAACCAAGCATACTGAAGCATACTATAGTGCATGCTATGTATACACTCTCAATGTCTATTAGGTTGGGAAAATATCGCTAATAGGTTGGAGGCTGCCATTTAAGATCCGTCCAAACCACCCTCCACAGGCTTCTTTGAGCGCAGTGGTTGGGAAGTCGCACGCGTACCAACAAATGTGTTTGATCATTTTGTTCCAAATCCACATTGTATTGCTGGTGTACCTCAACTATGCTTTATGTACATGTGCATTTGGTGTTCAAAATCCCTCTAAATCTATTGAGACTATGGTTCATTCAACATCCTTCATGGTTTTCCTAATGTTCTAACTTCTTGGAGACAGACGGATTCTAGTTGGAGGCCATCGCTACGAACGGGCTCCTGGCCTTACTACTAGGAACACAGGGCATCGCTACTAGGGGCTTATTGTTACTAATAGCTTTAATGTTACTAGTAGTAAGGCACTTGTTCCTAGTAGCGATGCACTTGTTACTACTAGTAAGGCACTTGTTCCTAGTAGCGATGCACTTGTTACTACTAGTAAGGCACTTGTTCCTAGTAGCGATGCACTTGTTACTACTAGTAAGGCACTTGTTACTACTAGTAAGGCACTTGTTACTACTAGTAACAAGTGCAGGTCGTGCGGATGCTGAAATTCAATCGACTCGACGCTTTGGGAGACGGACACAGGTGCTGAACCACCAGGCCATTGAGGACGGACAATCGAAATCAGCGCTGGCATTTGGCCGAATCGAAATCGGCGAAGTGTCCCATCTTTCACATCCTTTTTGGATCTGAACTGACTCTTGAAAAAGAGCCACTGGGCCGGTTATTATGCTTCCAACAAGTGCGTTTGATGGATCCAATCCTCAATGCATACATGCGAAAGCATGCTGCAAGAACTTGTCAGCACCTGTCCAAAGAAAGAAAAACAAATTTATGCTTCTGCCAGCTTCCGCCGGTTTTATGGTTTGTTCAAGTTGTCAAGGACGTCGAGCGGGCTTCACAGACATCTTCCCAGACGACCTTCTCTCAGGTGCGGTCTTCGTAAATTGTTCCTAGTAGCGTCCTTGTTCCTAGTAGTAAGGCCAGGAGCGCCTAGGCCCTAGTAGCGTCCTTGCTCCTAGTAGCTTCTTGTTCCTAGTAGTGAATGTATTCTTGTTGTTCGAAACTTGTTTCTTCTTCACAAGAAGTGGACAATGGAAAGGAGATAAACATGAGAGACGAAGTAAGGGCAAAAGCAGGCCACTTGCTGAGAAAAACGATATAGATTGGAAACACAAAAATAATGCACAAAGGAGTGCCTTGAACAAAATGATCGGTGCGATCTGCAGTATGTAGTGATAGCAAACTATATTGGACCGCTTCTTCCTTGTCTTTTTCTTTGTTTCTAGCGATGGCCTCCAACTGTGTGTTCGTTGCAAGGCCTCGGCGAAGTGTGGCGTCTCCTGGTTTCGCTGCACATGCAGCCGGAGATTTGGGAGACAGGTGCGTGCTGATTGCACCGTGCCATATGCGAGCTAAAAGAGAGCTCTAAAGGAAGGTAGTTTAGCCCCTTGAATATGGCCACCTAAGCGGCCACCTGTACTTCTAGGATGGAAACCATCGCTACTAGTAGCGTCCTTGCTCCCAGTAGCGATGCCAGGAGCCCCTAGTAGCGTGTTTGCTCCTACTAGCGATGCCTATTTTCGTTTTCTGTGTGTTTTTTGCCTCTTTGCTCTCTTTGCACGAAGCGGTCATGCGCAGCGCTACAGGTGGCACGAACCCGAGATGGCAACTTTTCAAGGCAAACGCTCCGACGTTTCGACTTCTAATGACCTGTTTGCAAAACGGTTCATATACGTTAATATAAATAAGTTTCCCTAAAAATCACTAGTGTGGGGCGCTTCTTCACGGAAGCTTCCCCCGCTGCCTTTAGGGCGGTGGGCGTCCTAGGTAGTAGCTTACTTGCAGCTAGTAGCTACCTAGCTACTACTAGCTACCTACCTCTAAAAAATAGTTAAATATATTATTGTAAGGGCTTCGCCCGGGTGCCGCCGACCCCTTTTCAAGAGGAGTGTAGCATGTGTAACTGAAGGCGTTAGTGTCGTTCCGGTGGTTGCCCGTCTGCGGAAAGAAGATGGGTGTTCTAGCCTTAGGCGTGGCCTCGGACAGGCTAACTGTGGCCTGTGCTAAAGCCCACAAAGGTGGAGATGCCAATGCCAATAAGGTTGCACTCTGCGAGGCGCCGAGAAGCGTCTGAGGGGGGCCGTCGCCTTCGGAAGCCTAGAAAAGAAGAGGCTGGCCTCGGCTGCTAGCACCGTACGTGGCAGCCCAGGCCATGCCAAGGCTGCGTGGCCTCGGACAGGCTAGCTGTGGCCTGTGCTAAAGCCCACAAAGGTGGAGATGCCAATGCCAAGGTTGTGCCCTGCGACCCCAGGATATACACCAACAACAGCAATCACAGCAGCAGCACTAAGAAGAAGACCCAGAAGCATCACAAGATCAGAAAAGCCACTAGCAGAGAGGCCGCAACAGGCCTGCCAGCTGCCGAGGAGGGTTTGAAGGCGGTCCAAAATGCCTAACGTCGCCTTCGGAAGCCCATAAGAAGAGAGGAGGCAGGCTTCGGACAGGCCACAGAGAGGCCGCAACAGGCCTGCCGGCTGCCGAGGAGGGTTTGAAGGCGGTCCAAAATGCCTAACGTCGCCTTCGGATGCCCATAAGAAGAGAGGAGGCAGGCTTCGGACAGGCCTGCCAGCTGCCGAGAGAGGAGGCAGGCCTCGGACAGGCCACAGAGAGGCCGCAGCAGGCCTGCCAGCTGGCGAGGCCTCGGACAGGCCTTTGGAAGTGCTTGGAAGGGTTCTGCTAGGCTTGGCCAACTGCTTCACCCTGCGGTGTCCCAGGCGCCTCCCCGCCTAGGCTTTGGCTATAGGCCGGGGTCGGCGGATATATACGTGCTGTTTCTGACACTTTGTCCGTGTTAGCTGTATTACATGTGTTCTCGTGAGGGAATGGCCTTTGGAGATCGCTTTCTGCTGCGGCTCCATCACCATCCTTTCGAGGTGGGGTTTTGGAGGAACAAGATGCGTTTTTTCAACGAAAGAATGAGAAGAAAGAAAGAGAGAATGAGAATGAAGAAGAGAAAGACAACTGTGGCAGAGAAATGCTCCGTTCACTCGCCTGTTCTTTCTTCCGACTTCACACTTTTCTCTCATGTCCTTCTTCACCGAGGCGGCATTTGAGTCATTTGCTTTACTTCCTGCCAAGAGCTCAAGAAGAGCCGCAGGTTGCTGAAAGCCATTTGTTTTTTCAATCGATTTCCTCATGGCTGGGAGCAAAACTCGTCTTCAGGGTGGATGTGAGCCTCATCGTGTACGAGGTCTCATCCTGATGACAATCAAGATGAATGAGACATAGTAGCAAACATTGCTCCTAGTAGTAAGGCCAGGAGCCCCGAACGTAGCGTCCTTGCTCCTAGTAGCGATGCCAGGTGCTCCTAGTAGCTTATTGTTTCTATTTATATATTGTTTCTACTAGCTTCTTGTTCCTAGTAGTAAGGCATTTGTTACTAGTAGCG